TGGGTTTGCTCCACCCATATTTTTTTAGCAATTCTACTGAACCCGTAACTTTCTAATTTACACATAACCTTAATAATTCTGAATCCTAACTCCCCCCTCTCTCGATGCCAGAGATTTGCAACCACCTTTTCTCAATACTAAACGAATTGCATTTCTTACATTGCCATTCTGATTGTTAACTTGATTTCATTAAAAAACGTTGTTCAAAGAATGAGAAACGGACGGGTTCAGAAAAGCTTTCAAGAAGGAGGAGTCCATTTTCTGGAGCATTCCGTCGTCAAAGATACCTGGCTTGAATTTTGTTAGGGGTTCGGACTTGAAGAAGTCCAGGTGCTTGGCTGTCAAAATGGAGGGGGTGAGGTCGTCGCGCTCAGGCGCGTCAATCTCGAACTTGGACTGGCAAAAGGCTACGATTTTCGACCCGAGCGATTTCCCAGTCCGTGTTCTCCCAATCCACGTGATTGCATGTTGCCGAACGGAGCCCAACATACGAACCATGACTATGTCAAAGAACCACCACAAAGCTCTTCAAAGTGAATGGCCAATACTCTAACGTCTTGGCATTTTGTCTTCCCTTCATGTAGTTGTTCAAGGCTGTGACCACTTCGCCTTCTGACCAACCTGTTGCACAATAATCGGATTCATACTACAGAATCTTAGCTTAGACTTATTCAACTTATAAGTAAATGCTTTAAATAATGCAGCTGGCCTTCGATGGGGCTACCGGCCGTGTTTATCTCTGTGTCGGTCCACTCCATAAACTGATTCATGTTGTTCGCTTTCGGCCCCATGTCTCGTATGAACTTGTAGCCGGCATCTCATGTGGACTGATCAACTGTGAGCTTCTTTTGAAATTTAGGTTGACTGATCCAGTGTCGGATTTGTTTGCCTCCCATGCTGTCAATCATGTAGTTGAGTGCCATGAGGGCGGGCCTTGTTTGTGTGCCCCATTCGAAACGAAGAGCTAAGCCACAACACATATCGATGCATTCCTTCGCATAGAGTTTGTTGCGATGGAGGTACACATGTTTGAACACGTGGATGTAGCGCCCATCATCGTCATTGGGTGCATCTTCGGGCTTTGTAGCTGGTAGAATCACCAACTGCATAGTGTACGGAACTTTAGGCTCGTGTCGAAGTCTGAAGGGCTCGGGAAGTTCTTTGTAGTTGGCTGTTATGCACTCTCTGTAGATGGTGTTGTCGAAGAACTCTTGTGTCATATTGAATTTCACGTGCTGCACTGCGTCGCAAAATTGCTCTAATTTTCCTGAATTTGCGTCTAGGAAGCGTACGGGCAGATCACCAACTGACACATTTCCCACTGGACGATCAGATTTGATGGGCCGCGTCTCTGGACCCTTGAGTTTCGGACCCGATACTTGCCCCACAGCCTCATCGAACGTCAGTGCCCCATCCTGACCTCCCAGTTCTCGCACTAAACCAGGTATTGACTCACCTGGATAGCCATAGCTGAAGAGTTGTTTCACCCACTTGATCTGAAAGGCTATCCAACATTGGAAAAGGATGGAACAAGTGCACGCCCACAGTCCCCCGGACTCTTATAATACGGGGCCCTATATAAATTTCCCCCATTTTGGGAACAGTAATTTAGGGAAACTACCAACTGGGATTGTGCACAGTCTACCTGAGGGGTTCAAGAGTGTACCTGCCCAGTCTTTCCCTGGGGTTCCCAGGACTCAAGCGGTTTAGGGGTTTGGGTCCAAAGTCCACATAAGCGGTTTAGGGTTTAGGGTTTGGGTCCAAAGTCCACATAATATGAGGTCTTAAGGCAGCTTTGTCCCTTAGTGCTTCACGCAAATAGGGATACCCTGAACCCTTAGCCCTACGACTTGGCATTTCCCATGGCAGGAATCCCATTGCCTGCTGAAGCGTGATGGGAAGCCGATCTCGCCAACATTTTCCGGGCACCTGGGCCGACCGGGGTTTAGGGCTTAGGATTTAGGGTCGAGGGCTTACCCTAAGGGTCCGGACCCAAATAATAGGGTTTTAGGGCCCAAATACCATGAACCTCATTGTATTTGGGCCCTAAAACCCTATGAATTGGGTCCTTGGACCCTTAGGGTTAGGGTTTGGGGTTTAGAGCTTAGGGTTTACCGGCAAAGCATTGAAGCAAAAGCCTGAAAACGATATCACCGTAAGAACGCTCATCACCAACCATTACGAAATGCTACTCTTACTCATGAGTCCTTTCAAAAGGTTATAGAGGGCTTCTTTGAAGGGTGGAACATCAAATTCCAAAATGAAATGACAAGTAAGATGATACTGGGATTTGGGGCTTAGGGGCAAGGTAGGCGCATTACGAAACACTTGCACAAGTTAGACAAGACATAGGGACGATATTACCTGATGATACCTTTGATTTCCCCTACCTTGGATCCCGGTGTTAATCCCTGAACCTATATAATCTACATACCCTCATATACAGATATATATATATATATGTGTATGTACGTATGTATGTACGTGTGCAAGAGCTTTTGCAACAGGCTTGGAGAACAGTGAAGGATGGTTCGACTGCATGCTTCCCTGACGTGGGATGAAAGGTTACATGGGTAGTTTACGTAGGGTTTAGTGTGTAGGGTTCTGACGCAGTGAAGAATCGCAATTTTCACGCAGGCTCCAGTTATTTAGATAGTGGGTTCTATATACCCTACAGTTACATGAGGATTGTCCTAAATTACTGTCAATACGGGGTCCTATACTTAGGTTCCTATTATAATACGGGGCCCTATATAAATTTCCCCCCTTTTGGGAACAGTAATTGAGGGAAACTTCCACATAGCCCAGTCGCCTACTGTGTAGGTAGCTGTGGGCCCCAGGGTTTGTTTTGGAAGCTCTTTCCATGGCCATTTACGGACCAAGTGCCCACATTGAAGCTCACAATTCCCTGTTGAAACTGTGCATGCGCAGCTGGAAGTGGAGAGATGTAAGCCCTAAACCCTAAACTCTCAACCCCTAAACCCTAAGTCCTTATGTGGCAGTCTGCCAGGAACTATGTCTTCATGTGTTGACGAGGCCCTACGGTGCTGCCAGCTCAAAAGTAGAACCTTTTAAAAGGATTTTGTGCAAGAAGGCCCCCACGTGTTTAAAACAGTACGTCCACGGGAACCTCGCAAAGAAACATTGTGGCAAATAGGAGTGTTCTTTCAGGCAATGTTTACAACATTGCTCGAAATGCTAAGCCCCAATCCTAAACCCTAAACCCTAAACCCCAACCAACACAGTTAAGTCCCAAACCCTGAGTGCCTAAACTCAAGGTCAACCTTTAGTCGTCCTGTGGGTGTTGATGTTGGTGTGCAAAGGGATGCACCCGAGTGAAGTCCTGATCGCTTCAGTGAAATGACCCTGGTCTGAAGCCTGGGCCTTGTGCCCGCTGTTTGCTGTTGGTGTCACGATTACAAGCCACCCTAAACCCTAAACCCTATAAACCCTAAACCTGTGGGCAGACGTAAAAGTCTGCTGGTTAAAAAAAAACTCAAGGTCCAGCCCTTTAAGGTTTAGGGTTTAGGGTTTAGGGATTAGGATTTAGGGTTTAGGGTTTAGGGTTATAATCCCCCTTAAGTAGATAGAATATGACTTTGGGTAGATTATAATAAGATCCCCATATTATTCTATCTACTTAAGGAGGACTATAGGGTTTAGAGTCCTAAGCCCCACCCTTGAGTGACTCAGGTATGGCAGGCAAAGGGCGTGGAGTTCTGTCTGCAGTTGGGTCAGAACCATTGAGATTCGGTTTGGGTTTAGGGTTTAGGGTTAGGACAGGAAACCCTAAACCCTAAACCCCAAATCTTAAACCCTAAACCGTGTGGGTTAGGACTGGGATACAGGGCGGATGGGTAAGATTGGAGTGCAGTACTTCGGGGAGTGCGGAGTCTAAGTTTGGGGTGCGTGGACGTCAAACTTGTGGTCCAGGTTGCTTGGGTATCTTGTATAATGAAAAAATGGAAACTGCTATAATGGGTTAGTTTAAGGTTTAGGGATTAGGTTTTAGGGTTCCCTTTACGTAGATAGAATACGGCATCTTGAGGTACTATGATTTCGAGTATTATTGCAGGTATATTTGCCTAAACCCTAAACCCTAAACCCTAACACGGTACTGGGGGAAGATTCCGTCAGATGTCACTGTCCCTCCAACTCCAAGTGTCACGGCAAAGTACGCTGGGTTTAGGCTTTAGGGTTTAGGGCTTAGGGTTTTGATGACAATGCAAGCCTGAACTCGAGAGTTCTGCCATCATCCTCATACCACCATGAGTAAAACCATCGTTGCGGGTTCATGGGTGGGAATACTCTCCCCTATACAAACGATCGTTGCTGTTCATGGGGTGCCCCAACCCCAAACCCTAAATCCCAACCCTAAACCCTACCCCCCGTCCCCATACTGCTCCTCTTCATTCCCCCCCACAGCATTCGCCTCAATTGGCCTGGGTTTGGTTTAGAGTTTAAGTTTGGTTCTCCCTGATTGTTCCCGGGGGGGGGGGGAGGTTACGAAACCCAGGAGTCATGATGATGTTCATCACTGGATCAATGTTAGGGATACTTTGTACGTTTTGGGGTATGGGGTTCCTTACATCTATGTAAAAGAATCCTCTTTTCTTCCTGGGGTAGTATGCGTTAAGATTACCACCACCACCACCACCACCACCACCACCACCACCACCACCACCACCACCACCACCACCACCACCACCACCACCACCATCATCTATGTCATCATCATCATCACCATCATCATCATCAGAATGACCAAAATCATCATTCCAGTTGCCACAACCAGCAGGAGCAGCTAGATTGCAGTAGCTCTCATAAGGACTGCTTGAAGGAGCACTGGTAATTCTGGATGAGTCCGAAACCAAATACGACTACCCGCGAAATCCCCTGAGGCTCCGAGTACTGGGTACCTTTTTGCGCTTGGTACCCAAATGCAGCTAGTATTAACCCTAAACCCTAGACCCTAAACCCTAAACTTTAATTCACTTTTTAGCTGGCACCTACTCCATCTTTAAGGGCTTGCCGCAATCTTTGCACCTCTTTCCATGATGAAGGCATTCCGTGTTTGTCAGACCTGTTGTCTCATGAGGGGTTTAGGGTTTGGGTTGTCTCATGAGTCGCCTAAGTTGTATTTCATGACATGTTGAATGTATTCTCTTCGTACGTTGGGTTACAGAGAAGGAGCTGCCTGACAGAATCTTTAGGGTCAAGGTTTAATATGTTGCGGACTTTGCTGTCTACACCCGTAACCAAAGAAAGTAAAGTTGCATGTACTGTGCGCATTCTGGGCGAGGTTAAATATGTTGCAGACGTTATTTTCTACACCCCATTGTGAGTTGTAACACCAAAAAGTAAAGTTGTACTCGACCCTTCTGGGTAATCAGTGCATCAATTCCCCAACTTACATATCTGGGAGCTTCGCAACATGGCCCCTACATGAGCCACTGTTAGTATTACTTGGAGAGTCAGGGGTACAGTACTTAGTAAGTAGGCTGGGATTTAGGGTGTAGGGTTCAGGGTCAGGGGTACTTAGTAAGTAGGTTAATAATAGGGATTACTAGGGTTACTGCATGGGTTATAAGGGTCTCTAACCTACTTACTGAGTGCCCCTGACCCTCTCAGTAGCCTTTGTAAGAGATCCTTAACAGTAGACATCGGGGTCCTGTAGTTCAGTGTAGCCCCTAATAAGGAAGCCATGTCTATTGGTTGTATGCGGACATGTTGACTGTAGCTCATACAATGATAAAGCAGAACCCCCATCCAGTCCCTGCATGATCCCCAAATGATGTCACCAGGGTTACTAAAGACTGGAGTTTTTTGAGACATCGGCATGTCAGACGTCATCGCATGTCCCCAAAACCCTGGTCCTAAATCATCCCAGATCCTTGCCCCTAAGCTCTAAACCCTAGGCTCTCAAACCCTAAACTCTCAAACCTAAACTCTAAACTCTCAAAACCGAAGCCGTAAACCCTAAGAAACCCTAAACTCTGGAACCCTAAAGCCCTTAACCCTAAACCCTATATAACCCATTATAGTAGTTTCCATTTTCTTTTCCATTATCCTTATACAAACCCAATGTAACCACTATAATTCCCCCTTTAAGGAACCCTAAACCCTAAACCCTAAACCCTAATTCCTAAACCCAGAGCCCTAAACCCTAATCCCTAATTCCTAAACCCTAAACCCTAATATAACCCAAGGAGCCACCACATCTGCCTCCCTTGGCTGGATCAGCCGATGAAGCCGTCGGAGTTTGAGTATCAGGCTCCTTCCCGTTTTTTAGGGATTTAGGGATTTAGGGATTTAGGGTTTAGGGTTATATTGGGGATAATGGAAAAGAAAATGGAAACTACTCTAGTATATTGGGGTTATATAGGGATTGTTTTAGGGTTTGAGAGTTTAGGGGTTTTTAGGGGTTCAGGGTTGGAGAGTTTAGGGTTTTTAGGGTTTAGGGTTTGAGAGTTTAGGGTTTTTAGGCTTTTAGGGT